AATTACCAATTAAGTGAACAATGGCCTTCCACTACCCTCTTCTCCCTGCCTCTTTCCACACTTTGTCTTTTTTTTTTTAATTTGACTTCAGCAACCAGAAGAACCCACAGTTGGTTGCTATTTTTTTTTTAAGATTTATTTAATGCTCCAGTACACTGTCATCTTCAGACATACCAGAAGAGGGCATCAGACCCTGTTACAGATGGTCATGAACCACTATGTGGTTGCTGGGAATTGAACTCAGGACCCATGGCAGAGCAGTCAGTGCTCTTAACCATCTCTCCAGCCCCCACAATTTGTCTTAAAGCCAGTGGTTGGGTCACTATATAGCAGACTGACTTTGAACTGCTTCTGCCAGAACTTCTCAAATGCTGGGGATTATAGGTATTCTCACTTTTTTTTTTTTTTAACAAAATCTTAATTGTTCGATTTTACCATTGAAGACTCAGGAGCCAGATGCTGGGGTGAAAATTGTGCTAGCTCAGAGGCAGGGAAAGCACCCAGCTGACCTTCCTCCTCAGCTGACTTCCAGAAGGAATCCCCTCTCAACCATGCTCCCTTCTACTTCCTGTGCATCTCTCTATCCATCCTAACTTCCCCTTACTCTCTTACTATCAACTGGTTGCTTGCTCAGCTTCTTGATCTATGGGTGACTTTGTTTAATGCCATGTACAATATTCAAGCAGAAAGCTCTCGGATGAAAGGTGTGTGCTAAGGCTGAGCCACAGCACAACTAAAACCAGGGTTTTCAGTAAATAACACAAATCTTGGGGGTTCACAATGTGATCAAATATCCTACAACACACACCTATTTTATTTTAGATAAATACCCCCAACACATTCTTATTATTTTTAAATTTTTAGGCAGAGCCTTACTTCAACCTAGGCTAACTAGAACTCAATCTGTAATGTAGCCTAAAACCCAGGGGTTTTCTTACTACAGCATACTAAGTACCAAGATGACAAGTAAAAATTGTAATGCCTGGCTATTCTTTTTCCAGATAGGGTTTCACTTTAGCCTAGGCTGAGCTCAACCCTTACAATCCTGGCCTGAGCCTCCTGAGTGTTGGAACTATAGAGATGAGCTAACCCACCCAGAGTATAATTTTCTTAGTTTAGATGTCACTCCTTAGAAGGCCTTCCCTAAAGTTTTAAGAACATGCTTCCATATTGTATTCTGTCAAAACCCTACCTTTTCTTCCAGATCTACCTTCAATGGTACTTCCCTCAAAGCTCACTCAGTCTAGCCAAATAATTCTTTCCTTGGAATCCCCAAAGCACTGTTGGTCCTTTTCTGTCAGACACACAATTGGAATTCTGAGTCCTGTGCAAATCATAAAAATTCAAAGCTGCCAGCTTTTTAGGGAATGACCAATCTGATCAATAAATCCGAACAGAAACAAAGACAAGCCAAGGTATCTTTGCTATAATAATTGGCAACTACACCAGTGATAAAACACAAGTGAAGATACTCATTGTACAGGTGTCATTCTTATTTCTAAACTGTTTTTAGCTGGCTTATTATTTGGCTGTTTATGAAACAAATGATTTCCAGATGCAAAATCTCAATGAAATACAAGAATTTGTGAAACATACACATCTAGCATGAGTAATAATTTGGTTTTTGTATTTTTTTCTTGTAGTCTGGATGGGGGTGCAGAATTGGTTGCTGCAGATTGAATCCAGAGTCTCACAAACACCACACACACATCCTGCACTTCTTTTCTGGGCCAGGATCTCAACTCTGTAGCCTAGGTTGGTCTCAAGCACATGACTCCTTTCTTCTGCAGCCACCTCTATTATTTAGTGTTTGCAGCAGGAAGCACAAGGACAGAGGATAACTTTGATAAGTCAATTTCCCTCCTTTTCCTATGTCAGTCCTGGGATCAAACACAAGTTGTCAGCTTGGTGGGAAGTGCCTTTATCAATCAAGTCATCTCAAAGGTCTAGCCTGTTTTGTTTTTTTCTTCAGCCAGAATCTCACTTTATGGTCCAGGATAGCATGGATCTTATACAGTCCAGGTAACAGCCTCTACTCTGTCTCTCCTTCCTGACATATTATAGACACATGCCATCATACCCACCTGTGAAATTATACACAAAATTTTACTTTATACAACTTTACACAAAAGACATTAAGAAGGCCAGAGTACAGCTCAGTGGCAGAGCATGTGGGTTTTGGGTTTCAATCCAGTGCACTACCACCACAGAAGAACAAAACAAAAAAACAAAAACCAGCACAACACATTTCCCAAATTTGGGCTAAAAGTGTAGCTCATCAGTAGAAAGCTTGCCAAACTGGAATACAGCTCAGTGTGGAGTGCTTGCCTAACATGTAAGGGGCCCTGAATTCCACTCTTCAGCACTGTAAAAAGCAAGCAAAGACATACACACATTAAAAATAAAACTGTCAGATAGGTATGGTAGTCCCCGCCTACAAATCTTAGTTCAAGGCCAGTCTAGCCTACAAAGTGAGTTCCAAGTCAATTTAGGATATAGATGATAAAATCAAAACATACCAAGTTCTTCTAGGTCTAGTCTCCAAAATTGGAAAATGGGAGTATCAAGCTGGTTCAACAGGTAAAGGTCTCACAAACCTAATGACCTGAGTTCAATCACCAGAACTAGTGTTACAGAAGAGAATGACGCCCATCCCCAAAGTTGTTCCTGAAATCCATAAGTATGTCATGGCACCCCCCCACACACACTTTTAAAAACTAAAAAATGCCAGGCGGTGGTGGCGCACGCCTTTAATCCCAGCACTTGGGAGGCAGAGGCAGGCAGATTTCTGAGTTCGAGGCTAGCCTGGTCTATAGAGTGAGTTCCAGGACAGCCAGGGATACACAGAGAAACCCTGTCTCAAAAAACAAAACCAAACAAAAAAAAAACCAAAACAAACAAACAAACAAAAACTATAAAAAAAAAAGGGGGGGGGAGGGACTGGAGAGATGGCTCAGTGGTTAAGCACACTGGTTGGTCGCTCTTCAAGAGGACCTGAGTGCAATTCCCAACAACCATGGTGGCTGGTGGCTCACAACCATCTGTAATGGGATCTGATGCCTTCTTCTGGTGTTCATGAATGTTTATGTAATGTATTCATATACATTAAATAAATAAATCTTTTTTTAAAAAAAAGCTATTCCCTGGCACACATAGTTTCTCTTTTTTTTCCCCTTTTTTTCTTAACTGCTCCAAAAAATACCTAGAAAGGAGTGCTTAAAAAATCTACCATAATGCTATTGATAAAAAATGCCCAAAACCAGAACTAATCTTATACTGCCCAAACCTTTTAAGGAGCACAGGATCCTTCCCCTAGGCCTTGAACTCCTGCTGCTCTGCCTCCACCTCCCAAGTGCTAGCTGGATTACAGGAGTGCATCAACTGGGCTCTTTTCAACATACCACTTACCAGATATGCCTAGAGAGCATCCAAGGAAGAGCACAGGCACCAATTTCTTGATTGTAGTTATACATATATTAGAAAACCTTAGATCTTTTGAAACTATTCCAAAATGCTGACATGATTCTTAACATAAAACTGGAGAGGATACCCTATGTTTTAGCATAACTCGTTTTTTAAGAAACTACTTTTATGGTATTGGAACATAACTCAGTGGTAGATAACTTGCATGTGTGCAAGGGCCTCAGCACCACACACAGAAATGAGTTCTGTCGTTCATATACTGTTTTTTAATAAAAATATTTTCAGCCGGGCGGTGGTGGCGCACGCCTTTAATCCCAGCACTTGGGAGGCAGAGGCAGGCGGATTTCTGAGTTCGAGGCCAGCCTGGTCTACAGAGTGAGTTCCAGGACAGCCAGGGCTATACAGAGAAACCCTGTCTCGAAAAAAAACCAAAAAAAAAAAATAAAATAAAATAAAAATATTTTCGTTGGGGACATGCACTTGCTTTCGTGGCACACACCTTTAATCCCAGCACTTGGGAGGCAGAGGCAGGTGGATTTCTGAGTTCGAAGCCAGCCTGGTGGTCTACAGAGTGAGTTCTAGGACAGCCAGGGCTACACAGAGAAATGCTGTGGGGGGGGGGGACTCATTACGAGGAAGAAAGTGGCCCTTTCATGACTCCCCTGGTAGCCAAGGAAGGCCTTAAACTTCTCCTCATCTTGTCGTTTCCAGCTCCCAAGTGCTAAGATTACAGGTACACATCATCACACTCAGCAGAAATTTATATGGTACTGGGGATTGAATCCAGGGGATTGCAGCGGGCTAGGCAAACATTCTACCAACTAAGCTACATCCCCAGGAACCCCTTTTTTTCTTCCACATTTGACCTGGTCAGTCTAGACTTCCACCCTGCTTATCCCAGCAACTCCACTTTTAGACAAGGTCAAGAAAATGTCCGACCCCTCACCCTCAGACGAGTTCAACAAATCTCTTCCCTGTTAGAACACCTTGAGCAGCCAAAGCCCCCTTATCCAAGTTTACTGGAAGTTACTTCTTCGTAACTCTGGCAAGAGAAATTTCTCTAATAGTGGCAATTGGACCCAATATCCTCAGGTTACTTCTTCTTTCTTTCCTCCAAGTGTTACGGGGATTGCCCGCGATTGCCGCCGTGTCCGCTTTCTCAGGTTACATTTCTAAACCTCTAGAGTACGAAGTCGTGGTCCCTGCCACGCACACTCAAAGCACCTGTCCCCTTATGGACGTCCCAAAGTTTTCCTTCTCCCGCCCAACTCGAGTTACTCAGTCGGGTCAAAGGCTCTTCGTCCAGTTCTTGAAAAGCTAACCCTCCGCTGGCTCCGCTCACCAGGAACCACTGGGCTCCCGGGCTCTGGATTCGCTGCCCCGCCCTCTCCACACTCCCGCAGCCCGCGAGCTCTGCGCGGGAAGCGAACCCGTCCGGCGCTAGGCCGGGCCGGGGCGCGCCCCCAACTCTTCTGTCTCCACTCTTCCGTTAGCGGCCCGCGCTCGCCCGCGGCCTCCCGCCGTCGCCGCGTCCCCTCCCCCCCCCCCCCCCCCCCGCCACCAGCCCGCCTCTTCACCTCGTAGCAGCGCCCGAGAGTCCGAGAAGAATCGGTGCCGCGCTACTCGCGCGTTGCGTCGGGCAGTCCGAGGGAGTAGCGCCCAGAGGAGCAAAAAGACGTGTGGCCTCAAGTCGAGCGTCGGGCTGAAGCGGCGTACCGCAGGCCCCGCCAACGGCCCTCCCCTCAGCCGAACAAAAGAGCCTCTCACTCTCCGCGGCCCGCCGCCTGCACTGCGCAGACGCGACGACCCGCCGCAGGGCACCTTGGGATTCAGAGTCGGCCCGAAACTACAAATCCCAAAGTACCGCCCGAATCCCGTGCCGCCCACCTCCACTTTCAAGGGTTGTAGGGAGTTTTCGTAGTTTTGTTTTCTTTTTTAACTGGAAAGGCGAAGTCGACTATTGTTTAGAACACATAACTCTACAGTTTAGAAAATTAATGGATAATGGTAGGGTTTGTTTATTTAATAACAGGGTATGCAGCCCAGCAGGCTTCGAACTTGCGGCCATTCTTTTGCTTCAAATGTCAGCGTGCTGGATTCCAGGCATGTGTTAGTATTCCTTGCTCAGTCTATAAATTTAGGACACGCGGGTTTGGAAACGATTCCTTTGATGTTTTGTCCGTCTGCGTTTAAAAGAAAAATCTTGTTCCTCAACTGAGATTTATCAAATCTTCACCTTCAATAATGCCCACCAACTTTATCTATTATCGCCATCGGGATGAGGTTCCCACCACTCAGCTTGAGTCACTCTTCCATTCAGAAAGTAGATTAATCGTCTACCATCCGACACTTTCTGAATTTTCTTTTTCTCTTTCCCCCTCCTTCCCTTTCTATTTATTCTTGTTTTATTTTGTTTTTTGGTTTTGTTGAGTGGACAAGGTCTCAAGGAAGCACTTAAAGGCCTGCTCTTCCTGCTTCCACTTCCCAAGTGCTGAGATTACAGACATGGGCCACCACATGCAAAACTTTCCCTTTATGGTCCTTGCCAATGGGTGACATCCATAGGCATTTCTCCATCTCCGTGAACATCCTTTAACAAGCTAGTCTAGAGAAACGGAATTAAGCAAAATCCACAGCTGTCATTCTTTAACAAGTGTGCTAGCTCTAACTCAGCTAGGTGGCTGCTAATTGTTGATCTGGGAACTCCAGTAAGGACAGAAGCCTCATGTGACTCACTGTATCCACGACACTCAGTAAAGTCCTTGGTGTTTTTTACTAACATGCATATGGCCTTATTTTGACCCTCAGTATTTATTGGTAAAAATTCATTGAATATGCAATTTAAGTGAATAAATGAGACATCCAAGGGATAATAAAACTGACCAAACTTTCCAAGGCCAGGTTCAAGCCTCTTAATCCTAGTACTCGGAGTCAATGCAGGAGGATTGCTATGAATGTAAGAGCAACTTAGGCTCTTAGGGAGGACCAAGTCAGTCTAGGTTACAGAGTGAGAGGGAGCATGTCTCAAAAAAGTATCTCAAGACAGTGACAGCTTTCCTGTTCAAAAAACTAAGACAAAAGAAAAAGAGGGTTAGCTTCGCAATGTCATACAAAAATCAATTAAAAGAGACCGCTTCTTCGTGAACATATTTGGATTGGGCCTCCAAAACCAGATGACCACCCACCCATTCTGGATAACTTTGATAATGAAAATATTAATAAAACTTTTAGCTTTGTGTTATCTTGTATTAGTGTTGGGCATCAAATCCAGGACCTTGTGTATGGTAAAGCTCTTTATAGGCCCGGAGAGGTGGTTCAAAGGTTAAGGCTCTTGCTGCTCGAATCAGAGTTCTGTTTCCAGCACCCATGTAGTGGTTCATGACATCCTGTGACTCTGGTTGCAGGGAACCCAACTCCTTCAGATCTCAGCTGCACACACATACATTCAGACACACAACATTTTACTACTGAGCCACATGCCAAGCCCAGGGCAGTTGTACTCCACTTCCCGTTATCCTGTTTTCTTTTTTTTTCCCTTCTTGGTCCTCAACCTGTACCCTTGTAACAAGCAAACACAGTGAAGTTAAGATAGGTACCTTCAGCCCAGGTTAAGCATCCCCTTCCTCTGCAGACAGGCTTTCTCTGTGTAACTGCCCTGGCTGAACTCAATTTATAGATTAGGCTGGCCTTGAACTCACAGAGAGCCAGCTGCACCTGCCTCCCAAGTACTGGAATTAAAGGGATTTGCTACCACGCTGGGCGGAGTTACTCTTTTGATGATTTTAAAGTCAGGGTCTTCTACACAAACTCCTTGGCCATGACCTTGGTGCCTCAGCTTCCTACCTGCTGAGATTAACAAATGCTGAGACGTTTGTTTCAGGATTTGAACACTGGGTTTCAGCACCAGATGAATAAAAAGAAAGAAAGAAAGAAAGAAAGAGAGAAAGAAAGAAAGAAAGAAAAAGGAAAATATATCATTGCTTCTAGGTGTGGAGGAAAAAGTTTATTATAGATAAAAAGAAGAGTGTAGGGGGCTGGAGAGATGGCACAGCAGTTAAGAGCACTGACTACTCTTCCAGAGACCCTGAGTTCAATTCCCAGCAACCACAGGGTGGCTCACAACCACCTGTAATGGGATCTGATGCCCTCTTCTGGTGTGTCTGAAGACAGGAACAGGGTACTCATATATAAAAAATAAATAAATCTTTTTTTAAAAAAACCACAGCCAAAGGTGGAGACACCTGGGAGGTTCCAGAGTGAATACGCCCCTGAGTCACGTGAGGAGAAGGCAGAGGGGAGGAAAGAGCGAAACCAGGTGCAGAAACCAAGATGGGAAAACATTAAAAATGGGGTAGGTAGGTAACCAAAATGGCTGGATTATATAGGGAGGAGCCTGTGGGGGAAGGGCAGTCAGCTCCTTGTCTAAAGAGTTCCGGACCCATCGGAAGAGAGGGATGCTGGGAGAACCTGATGGCAATGCTTTCATTTGTTAAATAGGCACCTCAGCCTTTTGTCTCAGGGTTTGAAATTTAACGAGCTGCTCCACTCCAGCCAATAGATCAAGTTCTTGATTGGAGGTGGGAATTAGTATCCCAAATCTATTGCATTTCTAATTATCAAATTGTGTCCCTGTCTGCATCAAATGCTGCCATCCTGCATCCCCACACAACCCCACATTCCACTCTCTGTGTAAATGCACTGGCTTTGCTCTTCCAGAGCCCCCCGGCCCCCGCAGCACCTTCGAGGCTGCTAACAACTGTAACTCTAGTTCCAGGGCATCTGACACCCTCCCACACATATGCGTGTAGGCAAAATACCAATGCACATAAAATAAAAATAAATTTGAAAGAAGAAAGGAATTCAGGGTGTCAAAACCTACCTTTGGTTTCTACATAGTGAAACTACTATGCTAATCTGAAACTGGTGGTTTATGCTAATCTGAAAATCTACCAGGAGTGGTTCAAATGTACAAACCTAAGATTTCTGTTTAACAATATCCATTATGAAAATTGTTGAGACTGGATGTGATGGTTTGTAATCCCAGCACTCTGGAGGCAGAAGCAGGAAGATTGCCATAAATTTGGAGCCAGTCTGATCTACGTTGTGAGGTCCAGGCAGCCAGGATTATACCAGACCAGAGGGGGATGGGATGAGGACCAGGATGGGGGTGGAGTGGAGGGTGGACGAGTGTTTGGAATTAAATCGCCTGACTTCCCCCCCCCCCCACTCTTTCCCTAAAGTGTTGCTGGGCGTGGTGCACAGCCTGCAATCCCAGTACACAAAGGCCTGAGACCCGAGAATGATGCGTTCAAAAGCCAGACTGGGTTAGCAAGGGCAATAAGTGAGAACTCAAGAAAACAACAACAACAAAACACCACAGGAAGTGTGGTGTAAAGTAAAGAAAATGTGATGTTGCAAAAAAGAAAGCAATCCAGACAAAGCCTCTCTCTGCTCTTTGTCCACAGTGTAACCCTGGGCAAGCTGCCTGAAGTCTCCAAACCCATGGGAAAAAAACCATGAAACTTATGGTAGACCTACTTTATAGCATTTCTGGAGATGTCACATCTACTAGTTATTGTGACAATAATGTCACAAATACTAGTTATTTTTATAAAGGTTGGCTGTCCTGGAACTCACTGTGTAGACCAGGCTAGCCTCACATTCAGATATCTGCTTGCCTCTGCCTCTCGAGAGCTGAGATTAAAGCCTGTGCTACCACCACTTGACTTTAGGCAGCCTTTCTAAGATGTAATTTAAAGATTTATTTATTTAACGTGAGTACACTGTCACTCCCTTCAGACACACCAGAAGAGGGCATCAGATTCCACTACAGATGGTTGTGAGCCCCCATGTAGTTGCTGGGAATTGAACTCAGGACCTCTGGAAGAGCAGTCAGTGAACAGCTGAGCCATCTCTCCACCCCCTAAAATGTAAATTAAAGAGTGAGGAAAGTACAGAACTTTTAAAAACATTTCTCTCCATACTGTTGCTGGGAATTCTTTGTTCCACTTGGATACAATTTTCTTTCTTTTTTATTGTTGTTGTTTTGAGACAAGGTTTCTCTAGAGATCTGCCTGCTTCTGCCTCCTAAGTGCTGAGATTAAAGGCGTCTATCTATCTATCTGTTGTTTTTGTTTCGAGACAGGGTTTTTCTGTATAGCCCTGGCTGTCCTGAAACTCACTCTGTAGACCAGGTTGGCCTCAAACTCAGAAATCTGCCTGCCTCTGCCTCCCAAGTGCTGGGATTAAAGGCGTGTGCCACCACCGCCCGGCTCTTTTCTTTTTTAAACAGATTTATTTTCATGTTTACTTCATGTGTATGGTTATGCGCTTGTAGACTATATGCATACAGCACCCTCTAAGACCAGAAGAGGGCGCCAGATCTCCAGGGAACTGGAGTTAACTGATGGCTGAGAGCTGCCCTATAGGTCCTGGGAATGGAGCCTGGATCCTTTGGAAGAGCAGCCAGTTCTTCCCTCCCTCCCTCCCTCCCTCCCTCCCTCCCTCCCT